TGCATTAAATGAGTAAAAGCAGCAACATAATAATACACAACACAATAGACTACAGGTTAAGATTACAGGATAGCATCACACGATTTTAGCTAGACAATTATCTTGTTGCTTGTTTTTCCAGTCATACAATAGGGTGTTTTTATACTCTTGTGAATGTATTTGGATTTCCTATCTCTTTGTTCATTAGTTTTTTCTTTCTGTGTTAACGCCATCTGCTGTTCTGACATGCAGCAAGATGAGACAAAGATATGCATGTAAGGCTCTGTCGCCAAGATCATTCTTGAGAAGATAGAACCTGTTAGCTCTTATAGCACGACGTATACATGACCCTTTGCTGGGGCTGAGATAAGGATCTCAATATAGAACCGAGTCAAGAAGGGAATTCAGAAAGAAAAAGAAAGGAAATATTTTTTCACTTATAAATGGGAGGAATCATTACTTATGAGTCACTTCTCTAGAGGGATCTACAAAACTTACTCTTTCGTCTTTCTGTGAGTTATCCAGCTAGTAACTAGATTTACTTCATGTTCGATATAGAACAGATACTCACGGCATGTAAACGTGATTTCGTTGTGTCGGGCTTTGCACTCATGAGCATGCTCTTTTATTCAGATATATCGTCATGTTATGTAAGGAACTGCCTAATCCAAAAATAAATGTTGCTTGACAATTCGTTTCAGCGACACTTAGAATGTATGTCGTTCTGCCACGAAGAAAATGTATTTGGATGTCTTAAACGTTTGATATAATTTGGATTGACATTGCTTAACCTTATCCGTACGTCGTGTTTTACTATCGTATCCAAACGACGAGAAGGGGGGAGGGCGGCTTTGTGCCTCCACTTTCCAAAGAGGAAAGTTACTCGTTAATCTGATCCTTACGCTTTGCTAAGCAGTCTGTTAAAATGGTTTTTGAGAAATACTGAAAATTTCAAAGAGATCTTCGTCCTAGAAGTGTTCTAAAATGTGAAGAATACAACCCCGGGGGTACAAATTTACCCCAAGGAGTACGGATAGGGTTAAAAAGACGCAAAACCACTCTCTCGGTCGGGTCCATGACCCTTGTGACGTCGTCAAGAGAGAAACGTATGATTAATATGTAAATTACTTCCCGCGATAAAAACTCTGCGGCGGTTAATAGATCTGTTGTCTTTATGTTTGTAGATGCCACTTCGATACTTAAGAATTACAAAGTTCTATTTTCTCAGTATCTAGTTTTGAGAAGTTTGGCGTCCACAATTTTGAGTTTCACGTGTCAAGCTTTTTCGAATGCAATTCATTTAATATCCTGATAACGACTCCGAATAATCTTACGATTTCGATAAAAGAGACAGAACTTTTGGGTTCTCGCCTCTTGGTCTTAGTAACTCAAAGTGGCCAAAAAATGTCAGATAGAACTTTGTAATTCTGAGGTAGCGACTTGTTGGTATCGTGCTTAATGATGGCCGTCCCGTCGATGCAGGCGTCGTTACTCGTCCCCACTTCACTCTACCATTTGGTCTAACTTGTAGAATAATATTAGGGCGCGCTAGTTCAGCTGGCTCAAGGCATTGCCCGGTTGTTTGAAGTGATAACACAAATATCTACCAAACCAAACCCCAGCCAATACTTGTTATATATTCTATAATCAAACTGTATGCTCGTTGCTTTGACCTATCATTTTTACTCAATTTGGTGTTCAAGTATTTCACTTAGCGTACATAAGAGAAATAGTGTTCTGTATACAAGGGGTTACAGATATTTTAATAGTCGTACTTTGATATTTGGATCTAGACATGAGTGTGGTCGACGTAATAGTAACCTGTATTTTTCAGCGTTGCGTTGCCATTGTAAAGAGGACATTATTCGCATAAATGTGATGCCATCGTCAGGCTACCGGACTCGCAATCATGAGATTGCAGGTTCGGGGGTTCGAAGCTTACCTCGGTTCCCCGTTCTGCCCTTGAAAAAGGCAATTTACATTAATTTTCCCATTGGGCTCTGTCGATTTGGAGATGGATATTGAAATCACAAGTCTCTCCTCCGAAATCACCTTTCAGATTTGCAATGGACGTTTAACTTTTATTATGATGATGATGATGATGACCCAACTTCCTCTCACCTTAAGGCTATTCACAAACAAATCCGTACACTGGAACAACTTAAAGTAATATCCCCCGAAATCCACAAGAGTATTCTCCACGGTGAGGTATCCTGCCCCCACTTTTATGGCCTCCCTAAGATCCACAAACCAAACAAACAAGGCTCAATACTTCCTCCTTTTAGGGGCATCATTTCACAAATCAGAGGCCCTACCACTAGAGCCTCCTACTGGCTAGACAGCATCTTTAAACCCCTCGTCCCCGACTTCTGCGGCAACCATTGGGTCAAGGACAACTTACATGTCCTTCAAAAAATTAAAACACTGAATGAAAAAAGGCAAATTACAGACAACACCAAC